TCAATATTATCATCAGTAAACAAATACTGACGACTCGATATCCGAATTTTTCATCAGTCATCAGTATCGTTTTTCCATACTGACAGTACATCAGTACTCACATTACACGATCAATAATACTGTCAGTATCAAAAATACTGTCAGTAAAATTGATCGTGTGAGGGCCGCTTAAACCTAATCGAAGTAGTCGACGAAGAGAAAAAACTGAAAATCTTGAAACATTGACCGAGAAAAATGCTATTGCAATTGTAGTCTGTGCTAGTGCATTATGCAAATATTACGTATACGGGAAGTAGGAAAGTTTAAATTCAACGAAATCGCCCAAATGACGCGTACTAACGCCGAGCGGGATTAGTCATCGTCAGGCGATAAAAATTCGAAATATCGGAAAAAATGGGCTTGATAAAAAAAAATTGTAATTCTTAGGATCTACAGTGGATCGTGGATGACGTGGCGGGCGGACGGGCGGCATCGCGAATCGCCATTATCATCCATGCTCGCGTGTCCGCAATCCGCTGTACAGTCTACAGGGTGTTTGAAATGAATCGAACGCGCACACCTATATCGCGTCTAGACGACACGTCATTGCACCGCACCGCCACTATGCGCCGCCACGACGACGGTTGCGACTTGCGAGTGATGAAGAATTAGARGGGCGAAGGGGAGTAAAACGTCTCTACGGCGGCGGCGGCGGCGACTGCTGATACCGTTCGTGGTTTGGAATGCGTTCGGCCGCGGTCGCCGGCTTGTGCCGGGTCTCGACCAATCGCGCGGTGCTGTTCGTTTTATGCCCATATAAGGTAATGCCGYGCGACGGGCGGAAAATGGTGGTGCATCGGGCGAGTCCATCGGACGGCGGCGCCGTAGCTGGGGCAGAGGACCACGATCGGCGTGTACTATATACCACTCGTCCCCGGCCCATCGGCGCGTACCGGTACCTACCCCACCGCATCGACGACGATGGATCTGTCCGGCAGGATGCACACCGGCCACGGACCGGGCGGACCATTCGTGCACTTTACGAAAAACTTCCGTAACCGCTCTGCCACCGAAACGCGAAATCGTCGTTTTCAACAGCTCCGCCAGCCAAAACGGTCGTCAATCTCGTCTTTAAAGGTAAATATAATTTATCATTTAATATTATATTTTTTTCGAAATTACTTTTTCCGTCTCGTGTTCACGGGGTTGTATTATTATTACCGCGTTTTGGGGGGAAACTAATCACCAAAACGGTTGGAAAATCTTTCTCATCCTTCACTGGCCCACGCCCTCACTTCGGAGTTTAAAATCCTCTGTAGCTTCAACGAGATTTCTTTTCGTACGCATTTATTATAACATAGGTTACTATTTAGTATCGAAGATAGTTTAAAATCCAACGTTAGCCTCTACGTTCGTTTTCATCAACTCTTTAATAGCATTTTGGGGGTATAAAGAATTTTCAATTTATCAAGATAAAAACATGGATAATAATTAATAATATACTTACATAGTATTATACCTAGGTCTAGTAATTTATTATGCCGATTTTAATTTATGCCAAATTATATAAGGTTAGGTAGGGTGTTCTTGTGAGTGTAACAGTTTCACTACTCATCGTTTCTCACGGTTTTCAAACTATTATATTCCGGTTACTGATATGTATGTATGTGTATATATTATATTCTCGTGTTCACACCCGGTGCTGCGCTTAACAGCCCTTTTGCGGTGAACGGGTGGGAGGGTGGTAGGGAGGGAGGATGGCAGGAAGGGGGGTTGATGACGATGACTACGACGTGGTAGTAGCCGGTAGCAAAGGGCGGGGTCCATGGGAAGGAGTATCGCGTCGACCGTACCACAGAGTGAGAGGAAAGCTACTTATACCGGTGTTGGTACTCTCACAAGACCAGTTTTGTTCGATGAACGACTCGTTCGCTACCAACGTGTATCTATAATATCTTTTCACTTTTAAAAGTTTGTAATCGAATTTAAACTTTTCACTTATTCACATTTTTCGGCGTTCGTACTAGTTACTCGCGTGTTCCAAACTCTTGGAATTTATACATTTATTTCTGGTACGTGTCATTATTATCTTGGTTCAATTGGTTTACCTGATATTATCGCGTGTTATAGTTGGGTTTTTTACATTTTATTTTCATACGGCTTAGTATTTTTAGTTTTTTTTATCTAAACCGATATCGTGGTGGTGATTATAAACTGTTTTGATGTGGCATTTTACGTAATTTTCATTTTTCAAACGAAATAATTTTTATCGTTTCGGATTTTAACTGTTTATTATACTTTTATTTTTTTCAAATTGATCAATTTAAATGATACATTGCCATTAACTACATATCGTATTTAATTTATAAGTTTATTAATTTATTACTTTTTTATTATCTCTTTAAATTTGTATTTTATGAGTGGAGATTAAAGCCATTGGGATGTATTAACAGTCACCTATTAAATTTAATATGTTTTTTAAGTGTCAATAAATACATGATAAACTATTACGAATTTCCTTCTCATTATAATGTATGGCTAATGATTAACAGTATTATTATATTATAGTTGTATAACATTATTGAATTAAAATAATTTAATGATACTATAATTAAATCAAGTATTTTTTTAGTCGTACAGTCATTTTGATACTAAAATTTAACTGATGACTTAGTCATAGGTTTCTAATTATTATAATTGAAAATATGCATGTTGGTGAATCTTTTGTGCTAATAGTAATTCAATTAAACTGATCAGTCTAATCAATTTATTAAGTTATACTTAACTGTATAGTATTTTATAATTTATTACTAAATATTTCCATTAGTTTATACAAAGTAATAAATATTTCCATTAGTAATAAATTTATAATTTTTTTTTTACAGTTTAAATAAATTAAAAAACTAACTCAAAATGTGTGACGAAGAAGTAGCAGCATTAGTTGTTGATAATGGATCAGGAATGTGCAAAGCAGGCTTTGCTGGAGATGATGCACCTCGTGCTGTATTTCCCTCAATTGTTGGACGACCCCGTCATCAGGTAAATATTTAAAAAAAATAAGTTAATGCCATTCAATTATTTAACATACTTTGTATTATTAGGGAGTCATGGTTGGTATGGGACAAAAAGACAGCTATGTAGGCGATGAAGCGCAATCTAAAAGAGGTATCCTTACCTTGAAATACCCCATTGAACACGGTATCGTTACCAACTGGGATGATATGGAAAAAATTTGGCATCACACATTCTACAACGAATTGCGTGTTGCCCCAGAAGAACATCCAGTGTTACTTACAGAAGCTCCATTGAACCCCAAGGCTAACCGTGAAAAGATGACTCAGGTAAATATCTATTTGAATTAGAAAATAAATAATTATCAAACACAAAAAACTTTAAAGTTTGCTAACCATTTGTTTTGTTTACAGATAATGTTTGAGACATTCAACACCCCTGCTATGTATGTTGCTATTCAAGCTGTACTTTCATTGTATGCTTCTGGACGTACCACTGGTATCGTCTTGGATTCTGGTGATGGTGTATCTCACACTGTCCCAATCTATGAAGGTTATGCTTTACCTCATGCTATCCTTCGTCTCGATCTTGCTGGCCGTGATCTCACAGACTACCTTATGAAAATCTTAACCGAACGTGGTTACAGTTTCACCACCACTGCTGAACGAGAAATTGTTCGTGATATTAAGGAGAAATTGTGCTATGTTGCTTTGGACTTTGAACAAGAAATGGCTACTGCTGCTTCTTCCAGTTCATTGGAGAAATCCTATGAATTGCCTGATGGTCAAGTCATCACAATCGGAAACGAAAGGTAGTTTTTATACCAAATAAATTTATTTTGTATTATATGTTTGTCGATGATATCTAATAGTTATATTTTATTTCCAGATTCCGTTGCCCAGAAGCTCTATTCCAACCTTCCTTCTTGGGAATGGAGGCATGCGGTATCCACGAGACTACGTACAATTCAATCATGAAGTGCGATGTAGATATCCGTAAGGACTTGTACGCCAACACTGTATTGTCTGGAGGTACCACCATGTACCCTGGTATTGCCGACAGAATGCAGAAAGAAATTACTGCTTTGGCTCCTTCGACAATGAAAATCAAGATAATTGCTCCACCTGAGCGAAAATACTCAGTATGGATTGGTGGATCTATCTTGGCTTCTCTGTCGACCTTCCAGCAGATGTGGATCTCCAAACAGGAGTATGATGAATCAGGCCCATCCATTGTGCACAGAAAGTGCTTCTAAATACTTTATATTTATTTTCCTAAAAAACTGTATTTTTTATTTGAATTTTCCTGTATTTTTTATTTAAATAAGAATCAAAATTATAAAAAAAATCCAATGCATTAGGCCTACATTCCAGTAAGTTATTTACAGCTCAAAGCATTCCTTGATCATAGCACGTCTGCTTTTGATTTATAATTTTTTATACTGACTGAATGAAAAGAGAATATAATTAAATGTATTTATTTGATAATTATTTACGTATATGGAATTTTTTTAGACATTCCTAAATATCCAAAGTTGTCTTATAGGCAAAAATATTAGGATTATAATTTTATTAAATTCTCTCTAAACATATTTGAAAAATAAATGTTTGTAATTTATTATACATGTCATTTTGTTWATTGGTTTTCTAAATTACCTTGAATGAATTACTAGCATCCTTATTCTCTACAAGTCCTTAAGTGTCCTATGTGTATAACAATAGTAATGATGATAATGTATTTTCTACTACAATTATAAGTATCAAATAGAAAATTAAAATTTTAGTAAAAATTGAGAATCCTTTAACAGTAACATTAAATATATTATAGTAAATTTAAACCTTTGTATTTTATCTGTGATAACATTGAATAATGATAGTCACCTATCGGTTAAGTTGTAACTTTCTTTATCACGCATTCATTACCAGTGGTCATCTGTAATTCTCAAATTTTATATGTGTGACCACTGGCGTGTCATAGTTGATTATTACTACCACCATATTATGATCGTTTCTGATCATAAATGAAAATGGTTTTATATTATTAGCTTGCTTTTTCGTGGAGCTGTAATAACGCACTTAGAAGTGTAGTAGTGTTTGCTCTGAGAATAATTACAATTTTTGGCATAACAAGTTTTTTTCTGAATATAATAGTAAATACAAAATTGGGATGATCAAAATGTGTTTGGTTCACTAATAATAGGTATTGTGTGACTGCTGGTGGTCACATGGTAGTCAATGTATTAAAAAAATCTAATTAAGTGTCTGACAAAGGTTTAATGTTATTCCTTATAATCTTATTATAATATCCTAAATCATATGGCCAATGGTTAATGAGTGAAATATGGAGAAAAGTTAAAACTTACATTAAGACAACAAAAAGATTTAACTGGATTTCCTTTTAAATAAATCTTACACTAAATACTTAATTTATGGATATTTATAACTTAAATGATAAATTATTGAAACTACTGACATGGATTAATTTTTCAAATATTGTACTATCGTAATTGTTGAGTAAGATTAATAATAAAAAGCTAATAAAAAAAAAAATTTACAATAATTCCTATTTAAAAAAGTTTGAAGTAGAGTTATAATTATCATCAGATGCGTATATAGAAATAATTTCCTGGTGGACTATAAATTATAATCTATAGCAACTAATAAATAATCTAGCTTTATAAAGGCTCCTATATATTTAACAGTTACGAGTGTAATTTCGTGGGGGGGGGGTCTGTAGCCCCTCTTATATACACCATTAATTACCATATTTTGTAAAAAGAGTACTTCAATATTTACAATATATCTCCTCATTTTCTAAATAAGTAGGTACTTGCAATTGATTATTTACAAGTCAATACACCATATTTTACCTAAATACAATTTTTTTATTTTCATTGAATCTGCAGTAAGTAATATGAACAAAAGACAAGTGCTTCAGATGATCGTCAAACTTTGAGTAAAGTTTTGAATTCTACCCTAAACGGCATAAATATAACATAGACCTTTGATATATCTAAATTATGACTATGATATTACCCAAAGGAATAGAGTATATAATATAAGAGAATACCTTTTTTACACAAATACATTTTTTAAATTTAATATTATTCATCAAATTGCATAGTAGTAAATTAATGTTTTATCTACACACTAATTTGATATCGGTTGTAACTTGTAAGCAAATGTGTGTAGAATTGAGGTAAGTATTCAATCATAATTTAAAAAAAGTGTCTTAATTCTTAAGTAGGTAATTCAATTATAAATATTACCTATACAATAATTTATTTTAAATCAATAATTCTATAATATACTCTATAGTTATATTTTTATTTAGTTGGTACCTATTAATAATTGCTATTATTAATATTTTTCTTAGTAAATTATTAACAAGTTATAAGTAAAAAACTTTTCTGACTCTTGACATTGTAGGGCGTAGGTTATCTTGCCTAAAATCTTGGTTCTATCATAATATATAAATAATAATTTATTAGTAACTATTTAACTCAATATTAAAATATTTTATTTTAAGTTATTATTATCATTGACTTAAAAAATTTAATTAATTATTTATTATATTATCGATTCTTTCAGGCTTTGGCGGAGTCCCTGACGTAGTGTACGCACCCCAACTTTTCCGAGGGTACGCATCGTTTACTGAATTGAAATCTGAAAATAATGTGATTTATGAAAAAAAAAAATTATACGGAATACCTGCTTTGCTAACTAATTGAAATGTATGAAACTTTTATCGACTGGGTGTTCTGCACAATGATTGGCAATTGTTATAGATTATATATACATTAAGTCAATAAGATAAATCCATAGATATATATTATAATACAACTGTTATATAAAAGAGGTCCATGTTTTCTATTTGTTAATTGAATTAATGAAGTATAATATAACAATTACCAAAATAATTTATAACATTAAATTAAAATTATGTGGGTACAACAATGTAAATTATAGGTATAATTATTTAAATTTATTTATTTAGTTGTTGATTAAGATGGTGTTTAAAACATATTTTCATGAACTATCAAATAAATATGTTAATATAAAATGTAATTTCTGCTTTTTAGTGTTAACATACAAGTATTTTACCATGGGAAATACTAAATACATCAAATTTACGGTACCGACCGACCCAACCAACCAACCAAGTGCCACCTAGCTTGTAAAATTCCAAGCCAAACATTTTCTGCAAATACTACAGAATAAGAAAATAATTATTAATATTTGATAAAATGGTTTAATTGAATTGGTTAGGTATACTTAATATTATTTTATTTTAAGCTATTCAGGAATATTTAAAATTTAAAATTTCATTAGTTTATTTCTGATAGATAATGATAAGAATATATTTTTTGTAAACAACCTTGCAAATATAATACAAGACATCTCAAAATATATTAGTCTATTGTTAGTTTCAATTATTTGTTTATTTATTTATTTATTTGTTATTTTCAACGTAAGTTTTTAAATATTATTCTATTATTCTATAATTATAAATAATAGAATAGTTAACCTTACAAGGGATAATTTCACAAAAGGTATTTCAAAATTTAAATCTTTATATTATGTTAGAATTGTTAGATGTATTAATTAATAGTATTATATTATATTACTCTATTATAGTAGGTATAGGTAATTTTATGGATAAATTTGATAAATTATTTTTATGAGATGCATTATTATTTATTAGTTAAGAATTCAAATAATATAATGATCTTAATTCAATTATGAGTAGGAAAAAAAATTATGAATTAAAAAAATATTTGAATGATTTAATTTATTATTCACAAAACTATCCTGAACGTCAAGTTATTCTGTGGTCAAGTTTCTACCCTACTGACTACTAGTATTAAATTATTATCATTTTCATTTTTTAAGTAATAATAGTAATATATATTACTTTGAGAGTATAACCTATAGATCTTAAATGTTATTGCGTCTACAATACTAAGATAGAAGAAATATTAAAATGTACAATGAATACAAAGGACGTACGAAAATGGTTTTAATAATAGGAAAAAAAGTGGCTAGGTGTCTAGGCAGAAGGACCACTAGGACCTACGATAGTGTTAAATGTTAATCCGGGCCTTTGTCGATGGTAAATTGGTAAGTGAATCCCTCCGCTTGAGAAAATTCAAATAAATGGTTGCAAACGTTATTATTATTATCGCTACTATAAACAGCTGTATATCTTAAATCATATAATATGATCACAGAACAATAATATGATCTAAGCCAGTAAGCCATGACTAAGATAAAAGCTGCTGCTGCTGTATAAACACTATAAACCATATTGTATCATTGTATGTTTTGTGATTGTAAATAAAGTATAATATTATGATTATTATTATCAATGGTACGACACCTGTTTCTTATCATTTCGATGTGTTATTATTTTATCAGTTTTCAACCTTTGAGGTTTTTATTTATTTTGTGCTTTGAACTTTTTAGTTTTTATTTTTAATTTAATAATTTGAGGTCTTGAGGGTCTGTTAATTAAAATCAACTCACTCATTCACTGTCGTTTTTCAGTAAACTCATTAATACACACTTTCACATACTATTACATTTATTGCAATTATTAAAAATTATGTTTCTTTTATATTTATTACAATTAGGTATTAATTAAATAATTGTGTTATTAATTGACTCTTTGTTAAAAATTTAAAATGATAGAACCACGTTTACCAATAAAGATCAACTGATCAACCAAGCTCTGAAAATCAAAAGCTCTTTGTTGTTAATAATTTTGATCAGTGTTTGAGTATGTATCATATTTTACTAGTTTTGTTATTGTTAATTTAATTATTGTTTTCTTATGTGAAGTTMATTTTAAGCTTGTTTAATGTTTATGATGAAATTAATATTTTTCGAATTCCAAGTGGGATTAATAATGATATAATTATAATTTATTAGTATTTAGATTTGGAAGCTATTGTTTTTAAACGATTCTTACCTGGGAAAAGAAATATTTAGCATTTTTAAACAACTTTACGATGTTTGTTGTGTTATTAAATAAAATAGTCAAAATAACTTTTATAAAATATCTATAATAATAGTAGGTAAATGTAATTTTGACATACATTATAATATTGTATATGTAAAACTTAAAGAGTATACTTATTGCGTTTTATATTTTATATTTATTTTTTTGGTAGCTAAAGTATTATTTTAAATTTCAGCAAATAAGTTTATTAGGTATTAGATGTAGAATTATAGGTACAGTGAAAACTGTCTAAAGCGGACCCTGAATAAAACGGAAAACTATCCAATACGGAATTTTTCTATGGTCCCGGCACKTACCTATAGTTTTACGTAGACGCTCAACCTCAATAAAACGGAACCTTCAAAACGCGGAAACGGAACGATTTTGTAAGTCCCATGCAAGTAAAAACCTTGCATAAACCGGAAAAATGGCACGCGCTATGAACAACCTAAATGACAAACCTAAACCAAAAATAAGGTATAAAATATAGATATGTCGATATGCGTATTGCGAATGTACAATGTACATCGTTAAATAGTGATAGATAAAGAAGATAAAATTGTTCATATGTACATTATATGTACATACAATGCATATTATCGCATCTTAAACGATATGAAATGTCTTCTTTGTAACTGTGAAACAGTCTTACACCAACAGTCATACGTACACTTTTATTTTATTTTATCTTCCGTTCATCGTATTAAATATTAAAATGCCAAAATATAAGTGTCTTTCATTAAATGAAAAATATCAACTGATCGATATGAGTACAAAAGGACATTCAGTAAGACAATTAYAAAATATATTTAATTGTGGAAAAACTCAGGTTTACGATACTCTTAAAAATCTTTGGTATGTATTTCTTATTTATTTGAATTGAATAATCCGGAATTTTTCCATTTTATTGAATAAAGCGGAAAACTGCTTAAAGCGGAATTTTTTGTTGGTCCCATGCGATTCCGCTTTAGACAGTTTTCACTGTAGTTTGTTTCAAAAATTAGTTAAATAATCAAATAATATCAGATTTATTAAACTGATAAATTGAAATCCAATATAAAATGTTCTTTAAAGTACCTATATGGCTATATGGCAAAATATGTACAAATCTTTTAACATAATGTTACACCCAGTTAATGAAGAATGACCTTTTCTCTAAACAATAGTAAACAGTATATTTCAGTTAATTTTAATATACATAAGTTTTTATTGTCAGTACCTATATCTATAGTTATATTTATTATACCTATATTATAATTAAAAATAATCGTGAGACTTTGTTACATTGTTTATTCAATAAAAATTTTATTAAAAAACAAACATTTTAGTTAATGAAACTTTGAAGTTTGATGAACTTATAAAATTTAAATAAGAGAAATATAAGTGGTAAAATGTAGTAATGCCCAGCAATATTTTCGGTACATTACTTTCATGATCGTACTTACACTTTTATACATTAATTTCTTACAATATACATAAATGAAATAGAATGTTTCTTTAAATTTATATTAAATATTAGCTTTTAATTAAAATGTAAAAAAAAATGTTGTTTATTGTTTATAATATTATTGTATGCATTGTCAGTATATGTCGCTAATATTTAAAAAAATTTTATTTTCAGTAATGGAAGCCGTTAATAAGTTGATTCAACTACTAAAACACAGAGGAGAATATTTTGTTACTGGTCATGACAAATTAACACTTGATACAGAAATCCTCCATACTATTAACACAAGAGTATTATCATCACTTCACAATGATCATATTTTAAATCATCACTACTTATCTGAAATCTTAAAAAAAGTCACAAAGTTAAAATTACTCAAATCATCTAACTTTGATCTCAGTCATTCTATCAAACTTTTCCCTTTTCATAGTCTAGTTTATTTAGAACTTTATGATATAGATATAGAATGGTTGGTAGGTTTGAATTACGAAAAAATTGAAGTTCTAATTATATATGGCTCATTAAAATCATTAGCAATGTTGTTAAATAGAAAATGGGTTAACCTCAAATATTTAGCACTTAGAGGCAGCCATCTTAAAACATTAGATAGGTCATTATTACTGGCACCTCATCTCACATACTTAGAAGCTCCTAGAAACTTACTAACTGAAGTTGAAAATATTGAAAAACTAGAATGTTTAGACATTTTAAATTTAAGCATAAATAGACTGACTCAAGTACCGATATTAAGTGATTATGGAGCTAGAAATTTAACTGTATTAATATTGAGCTACAATTGCATAAATAATTTAACAGGTAACTATATTTATATTTATAAATTATTAGTTAAACATAGATTTTGTAAAAAAAATATTGATGAATAAAGTAAATTATAAAGCTTTAATCTGTCTTCCTATGGACAAACTAAATAACTATTAATTATATTCTAATATTTGAAATTTTTATTTTAAATATATCTGGGTTCTTTTTGAATAGTATAAGGTGTGGTCTACCAATTTTTTTAGTGGTTAATTTTTTTTGTATTTTTTATCTAAAATATCTCTTATTGCATTGTTCCTATATATACAATACATTTAAAAAATATATATAAAATATTTTTCTTGTACTGGAAGTATCAGATTTTGTTTTTTGTATTATTATATATAATTTTAATATTTTATTGTTTACTATTGGCTGGCTGTGGTAATTATATTGTATAATATTTTAACATATACTCTGTTCAAGAAGAGACTTTTCCCTTCCACCGGTTGCTTAGCACATGGCTGTTATGACAACAATCATTTCAAATATGTATGACTTTCATATCGGACAGTTTGTTGGTGGGACATTAAATTCCTAACAAAATAAATCATGCCACTAAATATTTTTGCATACCCAAAAACATATCCATGATTTTACAATTTTCCATGCAAAGGAAAAATTTCTATTAGTATACTACTTTTTAACAATACTCACAACAATTAATCAATTTGTCATTAGTTATTATATTAAATATTTTTATTAAATTTTGTTTAATGACAGCCTGATGTTTATCTTAACATATTGTCTTTATTGTATATTCCCATATTTTTTCTCRTTGCAACACATGCATCAACTTTTATTATAYTTATCCATTTTCTAGTCCATCATTAAATATTTCTTAAATTAAATTATCTAAATAATTAAATTGTATTTAATTACTAAACCACTAAACATTGTCAATAATATTTTAGATCACCGATATAAATAGTAAATCCCTATACCAAACTTTATAAACTAATATTGGGCACATTAATATACTATTCTATGAAACTGAATTCAATTTATTCAACAATTTTTTATTAACCTTAATACTGTTTTTGATATATTTTAAACAAATATAAATTTGTATTTCTTATAATTTAATTTACTTTTATTCATTCTTAGGTTTATCTAAATTGACAAATTTAAAAGTATTAGATTTGTCAAATAACATGATTGTGCATCATGATTCAATATCAGCAGTAGGTGATATGGCTTTTTTAAAATATTTAAATTTAAACAATAATCCAGTAACTTACATAAGGAATCATAGAGAAATAACATGTGGATTTCTTCATGAAAATGCAGCTGTTGAACTTGTAAGAAATTAAAAAATATAATTTTAAATTAAAATTTCTGTTTATTTTATTTTTATCAATTACTGTTACAGTTTGAACTCGATGATCAGTTACTTTCAAAATCAGAAAAACAATATGTTGGACAGTCTTCMAGATCGTTAGATCTGTCATTTTTACATTACCAACAGCCTCCTAGTAAATTATTAATTTATGACAAAAAAACATTATGAATTAATAAATTTAATTCTAACTTAATATCATTCATTTGAAATTTTTATAGCAAGTGTTAAAGCCAAAAAAATAAGGTCTCCTGTTATTGAAGACCACAAATGGGAAAAAAGTTGCATTATTCAAACTCCTGTTCTTCCAACAACTTTAAAAAAAGGTTCTTAAATTTTAAATTTTGTTTTATACATAATTAAATTGATTTATTATATATTTTTAGAAATTCTAAAGTCAGAACATTTATCTACTAAAAAAAAAATTGAAAATGTACGAGAAATGTTTGGAGAAGATAACTGGTTACATAGTCATGCTGGAAGTTATGTTCAAGATATATTGGGTATCAAACAGCAATCAGAAAATGAATCCTTTTCTGAAGAAGTTCCTGTACAGGTTTGGTCTTGAATGTTTTTATATCATATAAATTATACAATTAAATTACTTCTTTATTGTTTTATAGGCAGAAAAAGTTATTGATGACAGTTATTCAAAATCTAATGATCTTACTGATAAAAAGGAGGATATTATAGTATGTAATGAATCTCAATTAGAAATGGATGTGGAGCCAGAAATAGTTGTTCAAAAATTAAATGTTGACTCAAATCTAGATTGTAACATGTTAAACAAAAACAAAGAACCCTTAAAATTATCAGGTCAGCTATTTTTAAAATTGGTTAAACTAAGTAAAATGTTAATCATTCTATGCATTAATAATTAATACAAATACTAACAGTATACCATTATACAGAAGGTATAAAAAATGGAAAAGTTGAACTTTTAAATGTATTTATTAACTTTTATTAAATTTATCAATAAAGTTGTAATTCTGAACTCTAGAACCAAAAACATAACATATAAGGCTAGAAACTATACAATATATTTTCACTTAATGCAATAAAAATTAAAAAAAATAAATCTAGTATGGTATAATAATATGCTAAAATGCTTAAATATGCAGTTACATGTAAAAATTCAATATATGCAAAGTAGAAAAATATTGCCTTTAACTCATAGAATTATAAAACAAATTTCTATATGTTTTGAATAATTATTGAAAAACATGGTAACTCTTAAAAGTCCTAGCTCCAAATTGATACATCATCTTATCAATATAAAATTGTAAGAAATAACATTTAGATTTATTAGATCTAGTTGTCATGTTATCACCAAATTTAATTTATTAAATTTATTATATTAATAAACATCATTATTTACTGTATTGTTATTAAACTAATTTAAAAAATCATTGTCAAAATAAATTTTTATAAAATATATCAATAAAATGTCTAAATTAGTGATATTTGTATGATATTATAAGGACAATTTCAACAAAATAAGTAAAGGATTAGAAAATGTAAATTATAAAAACGTGAACTGAGCCATCCCACTGTATCTTCCTCCTATTTTGATCACTAAGTATTTAATATAAACTAATAGGTTAACTATGTGATATTGTTAAATAAAATAATCTATACATCCAAATAATGTTAAGTTCAGACCCTCTCCTTTCCTATTGGCCTATAATGTTAATTTTTTTTATGGGATTAAAAAAATATTATTGATGTATTTCTTAACTTGGTGTTGAAATGATTATGTGGATCCTCATTACAAAACTTATGTCTTTATAATCAGTTTGTAAATAGGTACTAATTATATATTTTGTTTTTTTAGAAAATTATTGGCCAGCTCAAAATATCGACATGAAAACAAGCGAATATTCCAATATTTTATTATGTTTAACTGAAAGGTCAGCTATCAGTATTTTAATTAAATAATAGTTTTTTATATTATTTATCATTTTATATTATACCATGTTAACTACTAAAATGGMTGCCACAAACATGTTATATAATATGTGGTTAGGGTGACCAGACATCCCATATTATATGGGAAAATACCATATTTCAAAAGTATATCCCATAGTCTTGACATAAGCTTTATGGACACTAAATTGTCCCGTTTTTTAAAAATATGACTATTTTCATGCATAGAAAAATATTTAAAGGAAAAGACAAAAAATTAAAAATATAATCTTCATCTATCTGTAATTCATATTAAATAATAAATATCAATAATTATATTATTATGGTGATCAATTTGTATGTATTGAATTTGATTAATCGAATATAAAGTTAAATTTGCTTTTTTTCATAATGGGTCTCAGCTTGCATAGAGGCTACGATTACCAAGTTGTTGTAAAAGACCAACAATAGATATGATTTACTGTCACTAACTTAAATGTATTACAGATTACTACATCCATTGGGAGTAATGTGTACATGTTATACATTGTATATACATGTAGGACGCCCTGTGAGGATTTACTTATGTTTTGGTAAAAAGTCAAAAAAAATAATATTTTATTTAATTATTTTCAAAACAATAAAAAATAGCTATATCCATATTATAGAGTTTATTTTCTGAACATTTTGACATTTCAGTATCTAATTTTTATTTATCTMACGATTTTTGATCATTTTTCATGTTTCAAGAAAAAACTGTGTACTTAATACCATGGTCCTTGCTATAGTCAGCTATTATTGTTTTTTGATAAGATTTGCTACAGACAGTTGTTATGGTATTAAGTAGTAGTATACAATTTTTCTTGAAACTAAAAAATTATTAAAAATTGTGAGGTCGATGACAATCAAAAATATGTAAAAATGTTCAGAAAAATAAACTCTACAATATAGCTTTCTTACATTTTTTTTGACTTTTTTACCAAATCATTAAATTAAATATTTATTGTCCTTGTCCTTGTGAGTCTTATAAAAACAATTATATATCTCCATTATTGCAGGAGATATCTTAATGGGTGAATCCTCATGGGACACTGTATATATWAATAACAATTTTTTTTTTGAAAAATTATCATCATTTTTATATTGAATTACTACTAATATCTCAATGTTTTGATGTATTGAATTTTTTTTGATCCCATCAAGCTTCAAGATACTGAGGTTCCATGAGGAATATTAATATATCATTATTATTGATAACTTTCTAATTTAACTACGAATTCTTCAGTTAAAAATATAATTTTAAGTTTCTAACCTGAAACTAGCTAAACTATTGTACCTACTTTTAATAGCATTGATCGGGGTCTATATTATATAATATGTTTGTCAACAACACATTGAGAATTTCGACAACCCTTATGCTGCATATGTAGTGAAACTGGCCATGATGCTCCATAATTTATCTTAACCCCAGCAGAAAATAGAGCATTATGATGTATGTGTTTTTTGATATGTATTCATGTATACCTTACTCATTATAATATCTAATATTTCTAACCTATATACCTTTTTATAGCAATTTTTAAGTAATAGTAAAGTTACGGTATTAGCCCTCTATTTATAGTTTATATTTGCACCTACTTAACAGTAAAGTTAACCTTGACCCCCTCTTCCACCTTTTTTGATTCCAATATAACAAAAATATTGTGTGGAATTATATGATTTAATAATAAAAAATATGTAATTTTTCTAAAACAGAAAAATTGATTTTCAACAGTGAATAATTTATAAATCACCTTAGACCAGTATTTCTTAACTTATGATCTGGTAAATATTTATAATGGGTTGCAATGTTTGTAAATTAACAAGAAAACTATTTCGATTGTAAAAAGACTTTATTTTTAGCCTTATTATGACTAAAAACTGTTATGTTATATTTTATCTGTTATCTGTATATGAGAATATGCCTTTGTACAATAACAATATGAATGTGAAGTATACTTTTTTATATTTTTTAATTTAAAAATATTTTTAAATATTATAATTTAAAATAACCCTACATTTAACAGATTTAGGTACTCATTATTCAGTATTGCTATATGTTATTATTAAATTATGAAATAGATTATATTTAAAAATTGTTATTTATAATACTATAATATACCATACTTGTTTTTAATTTATATTTATGTTTCCAACAAAAAGTAAATTTGTGGGTCGATATACCAAAAAGGTTTTGAAACACTGCTTTAGACTTAACCCTAGCATTGATTTTATAACATTAATTAGGAGATATAAAGAAAAAAATCATAATAAGATGATATAATGATCATAATCATATAGATATCCTAGCTGTAATAGAACACAAAATATTGGTAGATGACATACTATAATACTCATATTTAGTTTGGTAATAATTGTATTTTTATTTCTATATATTTAAAATATTTTCTGTTGAGAATACTAAGTTAATATTATAAAATTAAAAGTAATAAAATATTCCCAACAAGAACTTATCAATTTGTTATAGAGAATTAAAAGAAAGAAATTCTGTTGATGGTCATTTGCTTGCTACCTGGAGCCGAGATTCAATTGAAAGTTGTGTCAAAATTGGCTTTGATCCTATTAAACTACAATTAAACTTTATGACTATTAGAAAAAATCTAAATCAAAGAATATATACAATGAGTGAAGATGATGCAAAAGTAAGCTAAATTATTAAAAAATGTGCAATAGCAAAATTTAAAATTATGTGAATTAAATAATGAATCTTTATATTTACTAATTTTTAGTTTTTGTTAGTAGATATTTTAATGTTATTGTTTTGTCTTGTATTTTTTGTTTTATACTCGTTTTATTATATTTTTATTAAAAATTACAATCTATCAATTTTTATACTGCGTAACTACAATATAAGAAGAAGAAGTTACCTGATGATTTAGTGTGTTAGTGACAGAATGTCATTATTATTGTTTGAGTGTTATTGTTGTAGTTAGAGATTTAATAAATCCCTCGATCAGTGTATTTTTAACCGATGAGAGAATTTTATAAAAATTTTGCTCAACCTAGTTCTAAATGGAGTAGTTAGTGTGGCTAGTTTGTTGTGGAACTTTTTTTTGTGATTAAATACAATTGTGTTGATAGTTTCAATGTTAAGGTTGTCTGGAGTAAGTAGTTGGAAACTTACCAAAGGACAGAGGTTATTAAACTGAAGGTAATGGATTGAAATGCCTGAATTACTTTAGTTTATGATGATTTGGCACAACTTCACATCTACATTTCATAAACCCAAATGGGTCTTACCATTGATTTATAAATAGTTATTTTGTTGTGGAGGAAAAGATTTGATTTAAAAATAGGGTGAGACATTTATCGAAGATCAATCCCAAATATTTAATTTGGGTTTCAACTTGAATTTCTGCTCTCCCAAAGTGAAAAATAAATGCGATTTCTCTGGTTTTATGTGGAAGGATTTGTCAGCATTAATTTTGATTTTCCAATTGGATCCCCATTTCCCTATCTTGACAATAGGTGATTAAAAGTTAGAGAATGCAACAGCATTATTACTATATTTACTTAATATTGCTGTGTCATCTGTATGATCTGGCGATTAAAATTTTATTGGAATTTGGTATGTTTGAGGTAAAATGTTGTAAAGATCTAGAGACAGATTGCTTCCTTAAGGGACTCCTGCTTAAATTTTGAAATGGGGAAAGAATACTGCCTTGCCTGACAACAAAATTATAATTTTCTTATGTTAGGTTATTGTTTTTAAAGTTGAATAGTAATATCATGTAATATATTTTCAGGAATTTTTAAACATTATTAGTATGGAGTTAGAGTCAAGGACATTAAGTGAAATGAACCAATTAGTATTTAAATGTTTAAAATGTGCAACAATATTTTGTCAAGAAAGCAATAGAAATCTTCATAGTAAGTACACATTGTTAAAAGAAAAAAATGCAATTAATTTCATATTCTTTTTATTAKTCTAAATGTACCTAATGCTAATAAAGAGATAAGTAAGAGTCATTATTGATGGAAAAAAACATATTAAGCCATGATTTTGGGGTTTTGGTATCACTGGATTCAGAAAAAAACAGTTATTTATGAATAAATCCTATGTGCTATCTGCATCATTAAAATATTTTCCAATGCGTTACCATTATATTTTTATAAAACAACTCCTATGTGATTTTTTTATATGAAATGTTTTTTATGTTCCCTAAAAACTACACTTTTTAGATAGGATGTTTATTTCTGTCGTTGATGATAAATCAAAAAATTCTAAAATATCGGCTAAATGTTTAATATTTGAAAAAAAGTGGTTTCTCATTTTTGGAGGAATAGTTTAATAATAGCTTGCCCAATATTATTCACCAAAAATAATGTCATATTATTATTTTTTTGTAAAATTGACTGTAATATTACAGTTGAACTTAGTTAACACAAAATTTTTCCAAACTCTAAAATCATAGATACCTCGAACTGTTTTTGTAGTCTCTTCAACTTAAGTTAACCAAGTTTGACTGTATAGAAATAAAATATTTTTTATTTGAGGTACAGTAAAGCGTTGATTATCCACTCATCAATTACCTGGACCGTCAATTATTTATCCGTATTACAAAAATTGTGTGCGTGCAAGTGAAGATCATGCTTTACGATTATTACTGATTGAAAAAGCTATTAAGCCATGGTGTTATTATTTAAATAAATACATTATATTTTTTATATATGTATGAATATTATGTTTAGTATTGTATCTACCAAATTAGATTTTTATTTTATTTTTAAATTTTTTATGGTTATTTGATTATCCGTATCCCCTCTGTCCCAAATAGTGTGGATAATTGACGCTCCACTGAAATACCTATGTACGCTGTACTCTTTTAAATATTAATAACTAAAAAATATTATTCAATTTTTTCCAGAGGAAAAGAGAAAAATCTGTTGTCCTAGTTGTGATAGCTATATCATTGTACAAATAGAAGAAGAGCTTCTTCCATCTACTTCTAATAAGCTACAGCATCTTTCAGAAAAAGATGAGCTAAATGTTGTTGAAGAAGAAAACTCTAATAATTCAACACCTATTAACTCAAGATCTAGTAAGATAAAAATATATTTATTTATAATATATATTATTTATTTAATAAAAATATCAAATTTTAAACATTTTAAGGCTCAGAAGAACCAGAACAACGAATATTTTCTAGTAATGATAGTGATGTAGAAGTCATAAGTAATCCTAGTGAGAAATCTGTAGAAATTCTAGAAGTAATATCAAGGTATGCCTGTCCAATATTTATGTTTTTAAACATAAAACCATTAGCGATAGAGATTGAATAAATAAAATATTAACCACAATTCAATATTTTTTTTTTCTAACAACCTTTATGAATTAATTGAAAAGTGGTTTTTTAATATTACCTAATTATAATTTACTTAGATTTAAAAGTGGCAGTGTCAATTGTTAATTATTGTACTATGTATAGATATTATTTAAATTATATAAAAAATATTATTGAGATTATTAAAATATAAAAGAAACAAATTATCAGAAAAATAAAGACACTTCTAATCTTTTGTTCCAGCGTAACATTCTAATTTAGTATTCTTTCATATTATGTTTCGTTTTGCAAATAGCTACAATAAATGTTGGTATGCAGATAGCTAATTTTGATCATATTGTGGTTTATGGATATTTTAATCTTCAGATGGTTGGATAATATATTGGTATGCGATAACGATGATAACATCATGAGCACTGTTACATCATACTATGATGTATTTTAATGATTATCAAAAACAAAAATTGTATAAWACCTACTTGACCATAATATTTATGTAGTACTAAATAATGTATACATAAATGATTTTAGAAAAACTAATACTTGATAGTTAGTAGAGCAATAAATAGTAATATATTAATAAAATATTTAAAGAAAACATGTAATTTTATAATATTAGAGGTTACATTATTTTTTTTAAGACATATTTTAACTGAATATTTTTTATTTTTTGATGTATAATTGCATATTCTTAAATACATATTTTATGATTTTTTAGTGCTTTTTAAGGTCCCTTGCTCTAATAATTAGTTATTTTAGACAGGGAAGTGAATATGTGATCTGCTACCATTTTATTTGAATATTTTAACATCAAATTTTTAAAAATTTTCTCATTACATTTTACCCCTGTTATGTGGTGAACTATTTAATATTTAGTTTAGGATTAATAATGATCTCATTTTATAAATATTTGATAATTGTTTTATTTTTAATTTAAATTATATGTGTGTTATAGTACAGAAACCAAATCAGAAAAACCTCACCTGACTGTTGATGTCCGAACTGCGTTAACTGAAAGTAGCTCTTCAGGTTAGTATTTAAACCATAGCATTAATAAACTAGAACATTAATATTTTTACCCTGTTGGGAATAAGATAATGAAAAACACCACTACATCCACTTTTTAAAACTATTTGGGTAATAACACTATCTCATGGGCCGAGTAAGTGTTTTGATTCTATTTATTTTTGTCCTTTATTTAATTCTCTCCATAATTTATAATTATGAATATAATTTATGTATTATGGGTAGTATGGAGTTTCTTGGCTTTGTTCATAGCACAAATATAGTAAATTTAGTGTACAGTGCAGTTGTGTAAATTTTGGTCATAATCTTATTTCGAACATTGTATAAATTTGCAAGGTTAATTGGTGAGTATTTTCATCAATAAACATTGAACATTTATGTATATGTATATATATATATATTTGTTTAATTCAATTGAATTTAAACATTTCTTACTGCATTGTACATAATTTTAATAATATATGATAGTTTTGTTACTTACGCCTTGAAGTTAATTTTAAATATAATCTCTATGTAAATAAACTAGAGTTATAGTCAGTTGATTATAATATATATATTATTTTAAACTTGCTTAATTTATTACAAGTTTATTTCATAAATATTTTGTTTGGATCTCCATTTAAAATATTATGAAATTTAGTTCAAGTTAATATAATAATTAGATATTTTAATAGCCGAGTTATTTTATGATAAATAAGTACAAATCTTAATAAAATAACTGACACTAACAAATTCCTTTTTAACGGTTCAAAAATGTAACTTTTACATTTTTATTTATTGTGGTTTTTGTTGCACTTTAATTGAATTAATATTAATATTACTGCTAGGATCAATGACAGATAGTGTGTGTACCGCTTATGAAAGTCGAAAGCAACGCAACAACAGTTCATCAACAATGAAAAGTACTGTATTAATAAATATTATTTGATAATATACTTGTCTAATGAATACATTTCAAATATATATATATATATATTGTTTGCATTATAAAAACAGGAAGTAACATCGATTCTAGGATTCCATCGGTAGTAGATGTGCCTATTAAGTTCTCTTATGATGATTTTGTATTAATTGACCTAAGATTAAAATCATATGTTCAACATAAATTTTTTGGGAATGAAGAAGAATTTGTACTTGTTTTTCGTGTATGTTGTATGATTATATTTGTTTTAAAATATTTTGTTTAAATTAAATAAAAATTATTTTTTATTTGATAGTGTAATTGTATAATGACAAGCCCCGATCACCGACTTGATGGGTGTGTGATCATATCCAATAAATCATTATATATATTTAAATTCATCGGCCAACCAGATGAACTGTAAGCAATTATAATATTGATTAATATGTTATTCTTATTCTTCATTAAATTATTATAATCTTGTACAGCTTACAAAAAGTGTCTAGACATCGACTGAGTCTTGTTAAATCCATAGCTACTCTTCCGTGGAATGTTGGTCTAGCCATTTGTGTCAGTCAACCAGAAAGAGACATCAAATATACATTTGTTCTCTATGTGCCACATATCACCATACGATTAATTGCATTTTTAGAAAGTATGTGTTAATACAAATGTTGAATATAAATTCTATTCACTCTTCACCATTGTTACAGGAATAAAACCATTTGGACAACGAGAAGTATTAGTTTCTTCCCCAAACACTAATTCTTATCTATACGTCAACAATATTCTTTACAAAAATGAACTGCACTTACCTATAATTCACGTGGTGTTCTGCGAATGTGCAACAATCATCTCTGATAATGGTATGGTAATTAATGGGTACAATATTATTTTACTTTAAATTAAATCTTATTTGGTTATTACCACTTTTAAGCCTAAGCTAAAATTACAGGCATATGTTTATCATAGAAATATAATCAATGTATACTATATTTATTTTAGGACTTGTAGAAATAATTGACTTACCAGGTATTGTGATTACCGAATATGAAGTGGTAGTATTAGGTGGTGAATGTGCGTGGCTGATACCTTACGAAGACCATTTCCCAACATTAGCTCACGTTCAGCAAATGAGTTCATTCAATTGTATTGTTAGTTATTCAAATTTAAAATTACATGTTTATTAAACAAAAATGTAAAATTAACTCATTTTGGTTTTTTGTCAACAGGATAAAAATGAAGAGACACTTAGATTACAATTTAATGATAATGTATCGTGGTTATTAATAGTAAATCATACTGAAGCTGAACATCTGATGGGTGAAACAATAAGAATATTAACAAACGCTAAACAAAAATTGTGTTCTGCCATGCAAATGACCTATTAAAATTGCTCAACTTAGACGAACCAAATCTTTCAATAAAACTGTTACATCTCAAAATATCTCAGAAGTATGCAATTGAAATTTATTATTTTTTAAATGAGAATATTTATAATACTCTTAACGACATTAACATAATTCAAATTCATGTGTTCATTTGATTAATTGTTATAAATGCATACCAAGAGCATAATGTGTAACTATTTTATTCATTGTTATTTCTGCATATTTTGTTTATAAAAAGTATAAATTATTTGTGAAAAAAGTAATTATATGTTATATTCATTAATAAAAATATATCATCTTTATATTGTGTAATAATTTGCATATTTTATTAATGATATGACATATGAATTTGTAATTGAGAATTTTTTTTAGATTAATATTGTGGTTAAAATTATTTATCTTAAAAAACCTGTTGATTTTTGTTTCGATCTTAAAACTACACAACTTTCAACCATATACTTTTCCCAATTTGAAATTTAATGAATTATGCTTAATGTATGTGCATATTTAGAAATGTCAATTTTGGAGGTTTCTAGGTAGAATATACCAATTGTATTTCTACTTTCCGCCAACGCAAAAATCAAATAATCAATGTTTTAATCTTAACAACTATTTAGGCAAAGGTGGAAAGTCCAAAATTCCAGAAACATAACACATAAGACATAAACAATAGATTGTACTTCTAAAAATAAATTTAAACATATTAATTGGACATGATAAGACGCTATGAAAAAGCTCATTGTATCAATAATTTTTAAAGGAAAATTGAATGTAAAATTATTATAATAATATATTTACAATAAGCTTATAAACTATTAATAATCAACAATATGTCAATATTTATTAAAATCTTCAGGAATTGTACAGTTAAATTAAAAATTAAATATCTTTTGGGAATTGGAAATTAGAAACTTATAATAGTATAAAATAATTGTTACTAGTTAGCATTGAAAATTGATGTATGAAATAAAGGTAACAGGATTAACATAAGGTATAGGTAGTAGCATAGTAAATAAAGAACACGGAAAATTATGTTCAGATGATTTAATACTTTTTTTTTATTTTATCAATCTTTTTCTTTTTCTTTTGAACACAAACTTGTAACCTACGAGTTAATATTAATATATAATGTAAATATGAATCATGTGTCACTAAATCAATAAATAAAATACCTTACAAAATTGGAAATTTATGAATCAAATAATAAAATAATGGTGGACATAATAATTTTTTAAGTACAATAATTACAGCATGTTACATATTAATATAGTTGTTATATAGTTTGACTTTGCAATACATGTTCTTCACTTAATACCTAGTTAACATGTGCAATTAGCAATTTTTAACAAGTTTTGTATCTAAAAAATATATTTGATATATTTATAGACTTTTTTACAATATTATAAAAATCAAACAATTGATTTAAATACATTTTTAAAATGTCATTCTAATTTTTACATAATTTTTATCTTATTGCTTCATAGAAGTTTTATTATAGATCACAGGTTTTGACATACTTTTATTTTTAATATTACAAACCAAATCAGAAAAAATGATAAAATATCAATAATAATAATAATAATAATAGTAATAATTAGAATAAAGCATAATATAAAATTTTGTGGTCTTGTGTACATGGTTAAATAATCATTCAAATAAAAAAAAGCTATCAACAATTAATAACAACGTTGATGTAAATTATATGTTTGAAATAAATATAAATATTATAAATAGTATATTAGTTTACACATTTAAAAAAGTAATATTTAACAAATAATTTATGAGTATTATTAAAACTAATACCATTTACAATTAAACATCAATCCAAACACAGTGCTCTTTGAAAAATTATTTTCAATAAGACATTACAAACGAATAGTTAACACTACTTTCATAAAATTTAATTGAAAGCCTATTAAAATTGGATTTCTTAGGTATCTCTATTATAATGTTTGAAACATCAATGTTAATAAATAATAATCATACTTAAATAATGACAATAAAAATTATTTCAATAATATATAAATTTTAATCAGTGAATAATATTATGAACTCAAATTATTGCTGATTTTTAGTAGTGATTGATGAACCCGAGTTCAATACTATATCTATCTGTTATCTAATATACTATATGTATAATTTTAAATGTTATCGAATATTCAACGATAAACTCAGACAACTCTGAAAAAATTCAGAAAATAATGAAGTATAAAATAAATTGTTTACAAATCCAATATCTGTGCTAGTAATATTTATAGTAAAGAAATTTAAGAAGTAAAACAATTATAATAATATATACCTAATTGTAATATTTAGAAACTATGTATTAAATATTTTGACATATTATCATCATGTAAAATAATATTATTTTCTAGTATAAAGAATTTTTTCTGTATATAATGTACAGCTATATCATATTTATGTATAGTATAATTTTTTTTTTTAATTTTAATATTAATCTTACAGCATTAGATAATATTATTATATTGAATTATAATAATATGGTAAATCATAGAAATTAATAAATAAATATTATTATACACACAAATGTAAGGTCTAGCCACCACATATATCAGCAATCAGCATTGATTATATTGAAAATGTAATGGTGTTAGGCCTTACATTTAAATATATAACTAAATACCTACATTTAAATAAATTAAAGAGAAACTAAATAAAAACTTAATTTTTAAAAGGTGTACATACAATATAAAACTGCTCAAAAAGCTGATAGTTTTTATCAGGTACAATTAATAATTTATTTTGGTTTTTATTTGTGGAGGAAATACTTTTGATAAAATATCTGTATACTGGCCAAATATTACAGTTTTTATTGTGTGGTAACTTAAACAGCAATGAATGTTTAACTTAAACAACATATTATATGATATATTAGGTAAATTTAATAACACTTAGCACTGTATTACTTTATTCTAAATAATTTATTTCTATTTCTCTTCAGTTATAAACACTTACCATATATTATAATATTTAAAAATAAAACTATCCGATTTATCATCAAGTAATATAATTTTTTCTTATTTAATATAAATACAGTAGCAATATAATAGCAAAATATAAGCTTCAAGTTATTAGTGCTTATATTGAAGAAGAAATAAATTGTTTAAAATAGGTAATTTCCTAATTAATCAGTTACTAAAAATTATAAATAATGCTGTGAACTAATTTTTATAAACTGAATATAATAATTATATAATTAATAGTCACGCATTTTTTTTTAGTTTTAATTTTTTTATACTTTTCTATTTTGTTAACATTTTTTACTTTTTTTTGTATCTTTTGTTATTTTTTCCCTTGACCCAATGTAAGCTAAAATAATATTATTTCATCCTATTATAATTTTACTAACTGATTATATTAGAAGCCAGTATAATTGATTTTTTTTAAATGTCATTTAGAGTTAACAGCATTTACGATTGTTGTTAGCACCCGACGGTCGCATGTTCTTGTCTGCCCTTCTCAGTCTTTTGTTACTTGCGCTCAACATCAAATTTACACGATTGATATGTGTCAGCTGGTTGCGGCTTAAAATACGAGTTTCTCTGTGTGCTTGCAGCTGTGAATAATATGTTAAAGTAAATTAATACACTTATGATAAAAAAAAAATGTGGTGTTAGTAATCTCTGTATTAAGCCATAGAATAATTTCATAAATTGAATAGATTAATTTGAAATATACAGTTAATTGGTTATAATATCATAGCTGATCTTACCTTCTGTGCTTTATTGGTGCCAGCTATCATTGCCAGCTCTCTTTTAAGTAACTCGTGCTTGTAAGCATTTTCTTCAGGCCGAGACACTAAAGAATTAAGCGCAATGGAAGTCGTCAATGGTATGATGATGTTCTCCTTTTTTACCGGAGACTTTTGGTCCCTCTTTTCAATTACATCACATTTTGGTCTTACCACTGCTGTTTGGGTAATCGGATGCGAATCTATTATCTCATGTTTTACCTCTTTCACAATAGATTTTTGTTGTACCTTCTTTTTCTTTTTTTCTTCAGTATCTATAACAGATACAGATTTTTGTGCTTCAACACAAATTGTTGAATTACTGATCAACTTTTGTTGCTTTTCAACAACTGGTTTTATAGCATTTTTTTTAGGTGTTTTACAGCTTTTTGGCACATCAGATTGTATGATGCTAAAGGAACTCAACCTGACCAGCCGTTCTTGGGCACGAATTTTAGGAACAATTATTTCTTTTGGTATCTTTTGCGACTCATTTTTCATTAAATGAGGCAATGGGCATGGTGGTTTGCGGCCTTTTTTCATGGATTTTTTAGGAGTTAAGACTTTCATTACTGTCTGTGTTTCTTCTTCCATAGGCAAAACTGTTTGAGGTGATTCAACAACTTCAACTTTGGATTCAATTTTAACATGTTTTATTTCAGACAAGTCGTTTTTTTGTTGTCTTCGTTTTAATGATGCAGCGACTTCTTTATAGCTACGAATAGCTGGTGGAGAGCATACTTTGGGCTTAGAAATTGGAGCTAATACTGGAAACATTTCTGTGTGAGGACGTTCAACTTTTTTAATCTCAACAACAGGAGATGATAAAACACTTGGTACATTGCCCAAAATAGTTTCAGGTGCAATTTTGAATTCGTCAAGGGGAACAGATTTTTTCACTGTCTTCTTCTTGGGGTGTTTAGGTAATTTTTCTTTACATTTTACAGCTTCAAATACAATTGGTGTATCGTCATCAAACGATTCGCTATTACTCGCAATTGAAGCCAGAGTTCTTTTCTCGGGCATTACTGAACTCACAGTAGGGCTGTGATATACAGACATGCTTGGATGTTCAATGAGAAGATTCTCCAAAGGTGTCGTCTCCATGTCTGCTGGACCAATAGACGTGAAGCAAGGAGGAGGAGTAACAAACCAGCCTTCTTCATTTTGACAGGAAGAAGATGATCTACTGTGGCGATCAACAACACCTCCACACCCTTCATCATCAGTCTTTTTAGAGTCCGACTCAGATTCACCTATTTAAAATGAAAATAAGTACCTAATCCATAACCTAACAAATAAAAATGTATTATTTACCTTTTCCAAGGATAACCCAGTCGTCAGATTCGTCAATTTCGATGGGTTCAAAGTTTTCGTCAACTTCGATTAAAGAGTCAGGGCAAGGATCAGTGATAACAACATCGTCACTTTTTTCAGTAGCGTTACTTCCTCCGTAGAACCAGCTGGATAA